AGGTTTCGTACTCTGGTTCTGTACTCGGATAGCCATCGTAGCCCTACTGTACAAGCACTTCAACACTTCGATATACCGACAGTCAACTTGGCATCGCTGAAGGGACTGCAGCACCGCCCAAATTTCGACGGAATCAAAGGCTTTCTCATAGTCCACATACGCCAGACATAGTGGCAAATTGTACTCCTCGGACTTCTGTACAATTTGCCGAAGGGTATGTATGTGGTCTATGGTGCTAAAGCCTTTTCGGAAACCGGCTTGTTCGGGAGGCTGGAAGTCGTCAAGTCTGCGCGCGAGACGATTCGTAATGACTCTCGAAAACAGCACGTAGACGCGGCTCAGAAGGGAAATCGGTCTGTAGTTCTTCAAGAGAGCGTTGTCGCCTTTCTTGAAGAACAAGACCACCGCACTTCTGCTCCACGCCTCCGGTGTAATGCCACCATAGAGGACGGAATTAAAGAGCTTCTGAAGGACTTCAAGTACCGGTTTTCCACCCGCTTTCAGAAGCTCCGCTGTAATTCCATCCTGGCCTGGGGCCTTGCCGTTTTTAAGGTGCTGGAGAGCCATTCTAATCTCGCTCAGAGTGACGTCCGGGATATCTTCGGAATAGTGTCGGATGAGACTCGCTCTTGGATCGTTACTCACACTTGCGTGTGGCTCCAACGATGATGTGTACAGCTGCCCATAGAACCTCTCAATCTCACTCAAAATCTCAGGTGTCCCGGAAACGATGCTGCCACATACTGTCTTCAGCTTTGACAGTTGGCTCTTTCTGGCAGACAGATCTCTGGCAAAGACTTTGGAGCCTTGGTTCCGCTCGATCGCTTCTTCAATACGAGCTGTATTAAAGTTGCGTAAGTCCCGCCGCATGCATTTGGAGATCTGTCTGTTCAGTTGCCTGTATGCTGTCAAATCTGTTGATGAATGTAGCTTCATCTCCCGTCTAACAGCCATGAGATTAAGAGTGTGATCGGAGAGTTTTTGTGTTCTTCTGCGGCGTTCTTCTGTGTTCTTTTGTTTTCATTCTAATCCAATGTAAATGATACTGAACATTAGTGGCATAATCATATTTAGACTTTTTGTTTGTTCAAACTTAGTTTAAAAAAAACTATCGTTTACTAAAATTATGGTTTCTTAATGATTTCTTATATTTACGCGAAATTAATTTTTACGGATTTGATCACGCTTAATTTAACGTTTTAATTCCTGACGTTTCGGGTGCTTCACAGCACCCATGGTCACGGGGGGAACTGAGGTCTTTGACGTCCAGATAAACTACAAATCCTCGCAAAAGAACACCGATAAAATCCGTAAAACTTAGTTTAATTTATCGTTTCTGTTTATTTTGGTTGTAATAAATTGTTAAATGGCACTGAACATTTGTGGCAGTAATTATTTTTAGTTTTTTATTGTTCAAAGTTATATGTTAAAAAAATTGTACTGTAGTTTATTTCTAAAACCAGATTATTTTTCGAATAAAATTTTTTTTTTCGCAAAAATCGATTATTTTTTTATAAAAAATCGATTTTTCTTAAATCGATTATTATCACAAAGCAATAAATCGATTTTTTATTAATCGATTTTTTTCACTCAATGTCACATCCGTAGAAGTAGCACGAGTGTGTGGTCACGTTCTGCGGACTGCGATCGACTTCGACGAGCACTTCGTCGAAGTTACTTCACGAGTAGTGTAGAGGAAGCAATACAACGAACTCAAAATCCCGCGCGTACGGTGCTGACAAATGTGCGTTCACCTTTATATAGCGGAACATTGGACAACATTTTGGGAGTAAGCGCCATAGATTATTTGGTCAGCGTTTGTGTATAAGAATTATGGTGCGAGACATGTTAAGATCGCCAATCCACTTGCCAAACGTGTCAATTACAGCAAGCCTTTCTAACAATAGGAGAGGACCTTGTCCGGAAGTGGACTTTTATGGTCTGATGGGCTGAAACTGCTGGCACAAAAGAAGAAGAACAAGATGAGCAACAATCAATAATTAAGGCCTCCTGCGTTTGACTTAGATAAATGTCATATATTCATGTGAAATAAGTTTTTTTTAAATTATTATAAGGTTAGTGTACATAAGCATCAAGCTCGCTTATATTATTTACTCTAAGATTATAAGCCAATGCTTGACTACGTTCCAACCTGATGATAAGTGGTGATGCAACCGAAGATGATAAAACCATAAAGATGTTATATTATACGAATAACTAAAAACTTAATGAATATAATATCGAATAGACAAATGCAATATTGGCATCAAAATGCATACAAGCAGGGTTTTATTTTAAGAAAAAGAAAATAAAAAAGCAAACTTGTTTTTAAAAACGCCCATTACTTTTAATTTTAATTATTTGCATCGATTTATTATTAATAATAAATGATGATGGTACAAAAGGCCATAGGAAGGGGTTATGTTAGTTTAAAAAAAATATTGTATGTAGTAAAGAAGGCTTGTAAATTATTTTAAAAGCAAATACGATCGCGAGGCTATGCTCACGGGTTGCCAATACTTGTGTACAATAAAGTGTTTGCTTCCGGTTCTGGTCTGTGATAAGATACTAAAAACTTTAGCGTTCCTAATGCGGTCGCAGCTGGCCTTTTCTCTGATCTTGTTTCATATTTTAAAAAAACGAAAGTAATTTTTTTAACTGTTAAGCTATTACTTGACCCACCTAATGGTAAGGTGTAATGTAGCCGAAGATGTGACGCGAAAGCGCATTCACTGCTTTAGGTTAAAACCTATTTCACTTTTGCCTTGAGGACACCCAAATTGTACTGGGATGGGAAGACAGATTCTGGCCAAGTATTCCACGAAGCAGTTTTTTTTTATAGGATGAGGGTGACAAACGAGCACACAGTCCACCTGATGGTAAGTGGTTACTGTGGCCCATAGACATCTATCTTCGATTACGAATCAAAATGCAGATGCGTTGTCACCCGTGAGGACTAAGATGGAATGCCTCGTTTCCAGTAAAAAGGGTCTCCGGTTCTCTACACTCACCATACGAAACACAGCAGCGTTAAGCTGCTATTTTACGCTGGTATTCTGTGAGAGCGTGGTCCTTCCCCGGTCGAGCTGACCCATTCATGCTACAACCATAATATAGCTGCAGCATGGCTCTACCACGTATAAAAATGTGTGAAACTGAAATTTCACCAAAACAAAGAGGTCAAGGGCCGCCGAGTCTGGTTGTGCGATGATAGAAAGAGGAAAGGAAGTGTGTGTAGTCTGTTATCTCACTGTACCATCATGATAGCGGTTAGAAGGATACAAGCAGGGTTGCCAATCGCAACATATTTTTATGAATATAAAATTCCAGTGTGCACGTGTTCGTAATACATCTCCTTCTAAACGAATTGACCGATTTTGATGGGTTTTTATTGGGGTACTTATGGGGTCACCATGATCGTTCTTACATTTTTTTATAGAATAAGGGTGACAAACGAGCACACAGTCCACATGATGGTAAGTGGTTGCTGTGGCCCATAGACATCTACATCCACCTTCGTTTGCGAATTAAAATGCAGATGCTTTGTCAGCCGTGAGGACTAAGATGGAATACCTTTTCCAGTAAAATGGGTCTCCGGTTCTCTACACTCACCACACGAAACACAGCAGCATTAAGCTGCTATTTTACGCTGGTATTCTGAGAGCGTGGTCCTTCCCCGGTCGAGCCGACCCATTCGTGCTACAACTATACTATTAATATAGCTGCAGCATGGCTCTACCACGTATAAAATATAGTTGCCTTGTCGTCGAAATCCAGAAATCACTCGTGCAAAGCCGGTACAAATCGCTAGTAATGTTATGTAATATAGGGAATATGACAACTTGTTATTTAAATATCAAGTTAAAGCATTGCACCCCGATAAATAAAATAAATGAAATTCTGACGACCAACAAATGGCGCTGGATAAAAAGCAGTGTTACCAGTGTGAGGAGTATTGGCTGTACGCTCGTCAACCTGTCTAGAATGCTTTTGGACATATCTTTCAACGTTTCGCACCAGCTTTCGCAACCTTAAAGAGATTCAATAATATCTAGTAGTGGATGTTTAAAGAAATACTACAACTTACCGTTTCGCGTCTGTGTGCATGTATGTTCGTACGATAATGAACTTTTTTCTCAAGTTAATTCGTATCGAATTTCATCCAACATAATAGTCTTTCTAATCTTTGCTAGTCCCTAATATTCTAGAGGCACAAAGTACTTGCAAATAGTCACTTAAAGTGGGAAATGTATTATAACAGCTGGCAGACAGAATCACACCTCCGTTTAACACACAAAACACTACGGCTGGGCATGGGCCTCTTCCTTTCGGAACAGGAACACAGAACAGGAACGATTTGCCTTTATTGTCACGCTTGGCGGATTGCGTCTCGCAATCTGAATATTTTACATCTAGAGTAAACGAGATGCAAAGATATTTTACCTATAAAACATCTTTGACGAGATGATTATACTGCTAACACGGTCGCGGAGCAGGAATTTCTTTATTGCGTTCATCGATCATTAATAAAAATGGTCGATGATTGCTTTTGCATTTTTAAACTCCCATCGTATAAAGTTTTATTTCTATTGCAACTAAGATAGTTTTAGGACCTTGTGAACAGTACTTGTGATTCGAAAACCGAGCTTATTCTCAAGTAATTAAAGATCACATTTGTATAAATTGAAATAATTTAAAATTCTTCCTGCTCCGCGATCACGACATATCTAACGGAAGCCTTAAGACCTTTATAAGATCTTTCTTGCATTTTTCAAAGATGTCTCAAACAACACCAATGGGACGAAAAAAGGTAATAGTTCTGTGACGCCGCCACCCAGTTAATTTATTTCGGAATAATGTCAAGTGATTTACAAACTAGGTATAAACCTTTTTAAATGTATTTTATAATTACTTAATGTTCTACGTAATTATACTACAAATAAAATAAAAAATATTGCCAACCCTACTTACAAGGCCAGTGCGTAATAAAAATAACTCACATCAAGCTCCAACTCCAGCTTATTGATCTCGTCAGTTGCCGCGTTAAGTTTCTCCAGCTCCACCTGAAAGTTGACAAACAGCTTCAGACAATCGCAAGGCACTTGTACTTCATATTCCCAAACGTGTGGCAACAGCAAGCAACATGTAGAGACGGGAAACTCACGAGACATTGCTACTGACTTGAAAATTATCGTAATGACGAGAACATTTATCATATGAGATAACTACTCTTTTATCTATCTGTACCTTATGGAGATGTTTCCTGTCCCTACTAAACAAAGCGTCTATTACAAAAAGAAAACTGGTACTTACTTATTATTATCTCGACAAGGACTTATACAAAAAAGAATAATGAAAATCGCATTAGAAATAGTTAATTACAATTTTATTTCAAATTATCATATCATGACGTTAACTGTTAACATACTAGAGTTATGCATGCCATAAATTTTACAATACAAAAATATTTGAATACACTTATTCACATCTCCAAAATCACTGTTATATTCATTACATGTTAGATAATTAAGAGGGTAAGAGAAATTGCAATTGACAACTCAGAATGTTTAAACATTTAATTCAGAAGAAATAAAAATAAAATGACTTAACATTTAGTATACAATTAACAAAGTAATGGAATGATTTAGTTGTACCAGAGTGAGTTTGCACTGACACTCATTGCAAATTGAAATCTCCTATTTTGGTAATGCATGTGGTTATTTTCTGAGAATGACAATAAAATAACCATTACTATATTGACAATATAAAAACACAACAGAAACAAAACAAAGTTTAAAAATGAGATTACACATGAGTAAGTTACAAACATACTAGCTACAAGAGATAGCAATATAATAAAACTAAAAACTAACCCTTAACATTTTAGAATAATCATATAAAGTTATTTTCACGGTGGTTGTAATACATTCTAAATGCTGTCTCGTGACATCAAATAAATTTATCAACATATACATAACACTTCCAGAGATTCAATTACAAGTAATTTATCCCAATTAACCCAATTTAATTGAATGGATAACTTATGCCAGATAGCAAATGTAACTTTAGATGATCACATCTGTGTTAAATGAAATATGAACTTATGAATTTGCATAGTAACATTAACTCTGGCCTATATAGTGCTCATTATTGCATTTTATGCCTTATAAGCAAAGTTTTTACCGCATTAAATGAAGCTAGCTTTTTTTTATTGCGTTTTGCATTTAATTAATAAATAATAGAAAATGAGGTACTTATTCAAAAACTTCAAAGAATCAAAATAATAGATGTTTTTAAATACAGTTTAAATTATTATACATAAATATTTTAATTATATTATAACTTATAATATTAAAGTAACTTTTTTTTACTCAATTTGTTTTTAGTCTACATCTTGATTAAGAAATTGTGGGGGGAGGGACGATCATTTGCAGACCTCAGGAGGTAGATAAATAATATTATTGTTGTTACAAATGAAACACTAAACTTGTAAATTTCATCAAATGAATGTCTTAGAAAGTATGTGGTCTTAAAGCTTTTTATTGGTGTAAGTATAGCATTAGCATCAGGTGTCTAAATGGGACCTAAAACTTAAAAATTATATAAACAGTGTGGTCCTATTGAACTTCTGTTTTCAACAGAACCAACACTTATAAACTATTGGCAATTATTTAAAATCCATAAATCATGTCATTGTTTGAATGGATTAATTAAATCCTGTAAAATTTAATATGACCATATTATGTACACAATAACTGTTAGTTTGTATGATGGCACATATCTATTTTGAAAAATAAGTTAGTGAAATAAAGTTTAAAATAATAACATACATGTTAATGACTCTAATATTATGTGATTACAACTAATAATTAAACATAACAATTGACAATTTTTTTTATTGTGATTCAAATTAAATCATTATACTGGACAGGAAACAGTCCTACAAGGTACAAACATATACACCTCAACCAAAAATATGTTCAAATCTTAGTATATTTCATACATACAAATGAAAGTTACAATATACATATTTTAAATATATAATATAGTCTAAGTCATAAGGAATTGGACCAGTCAATGAAAATCACTATCACAAATGTATTTGCCAGAAACGAAACGGCGTTTCACAAGAGACAAGCGGTATCCGCTACCTATTAGTTCAAACTCAATGCCAGATAGAGTAGCTCCTTCACAGTTAAATTGTGCAGAAATGGTTCCTTTAGATGAAGGACCTCTATTTAATTCAAAACGCGCACGTAGTGACCCCACACCCCTATCTTCTGAATGCTGAGATAGCTCTGTAAATCGCCACAGTGCTTGTTCATTTTCCCCATTCCAGATATTCTTAGGCATTGCAATAACATTTTTAACACCACCATTCATTGGCACACAGACAGATACGTTGAGAAGAGGAGATGGAGGACTCATTGCGTGAAGATTATATTTATAATCAACTTTGAGATCTGTGTGATCATGTTCACATTTCCAATAAGCGACCAATTGGAAAGGACATGATGCCGCACCCGTTTTGGGGCGTATTTGATATTTCAAAATGTCTACATTGAAATATTGGGCAGAGGGATTCTTCTCAGACTGTCTCTTCAATAAAGATGTCAATGCAGGCATGTTAAATTCAACTACAGTAGCATCTCTTGTAGACATCATAGTGTTGATACTGATGAGCTGCTTATTAGGTAATACATTATCAAGTCTATGAATATTCTTCAGTCTAAAACATAGCTTGGCTGGATTAGGATTATTGGCAAGAACACCCACAATACCAGTTGGAAATGATAACATCATATCTCCAGACATTTTAACTTGACATTTACTTTCTTCTGTTCCTCTAAAATAAGAGTGTATGATTTCATGAAAAGCAACTGCAAGAGGTATAGTATCTGCCATTCCTATTGTAAGGGGAGATGGACCTCTGGAGCCTGAAGAACCAGCAGTTCGGAAGTCTCCCTCAGATCGCCGTGAAGGTGGTCTTGGGAGTGATATAGTTGTTATTGTGGGTGTAGATGTTCTGAAATTGGATTGAGCCAAATCTCCAACTTCTGAGAAAAGGTCTCCAACATCAGTTGTTGACATTGGTGTGGGACTTTCAAGTAAATGTGACTGATTAGCCTGCAATGGTGCATATGGATTTGAGACATTGCCATGAGGGGAGGCCGGATTACTAATGTTGGGACTTTGAAAGAAATTCAAATCTAATAGATCACTACTAGCCTTACTAGCATTTGCATTAGAACCTCGACGAGTTGTGCCAATTTTATACAGTGAGATGTTTTCTACTGTGGCCCTTAACTCATCTACACTAGCAGACATAGGTGCGCTACCATTACTTATTGGTTTAATTTCAACATGGATCTTCTGTTCTCTTTCTTCTTCAGAATCAGACTCTGTGGAGGAATATACACTCCCCTTTTCATCTTTAGGCCTAATACAAAACCCTTCTTCATCAACTTCTGGAGAATTCATTAAATCATCTTTTGTTGGTATTTCTTCTTCCTTCTCTTCTAAGTCAGACCTATCACCAGCATTTGAATTTTCTGAAATTTCATCTTTTTTCTTTTTTAATTTTTTGTTTTTAGTTTTTGTTCTTCTGCTGCGGAACCATTTAGATTCTCTGAATGTTGAACGTCCCATATTATCATCTTTATCTTGGGCCGCTGGGGTTGCTGACGTGCCACTGGGACTGGATGGAGCAGAACATGGTGCAGCACCTTCTGCACTTCCACTAGGCTCATCTTTACTTTGGAAATTTGGTGTAAATAAATTAAGAAGAGAGGTTGTCCTTCTAGAAGTTTTTGCAACAAAGGATTGTTGATCTTTCTTAGTTGAGGATTTAGATGCAGATTGTGGCTTGTGTGATCCATTAGAAATAGTTGATATCTGATCCGCTTCAGATATTGAATTATTTGCAGAACCAGGTTTTGGTAGTGTTGTAGGCAATTCAACAAGATTAGCTTTTTCTATAGCATTATATTTTTCCACAAGGAATTGTTCTAGCAACTTTTCCACTGTTAGCTCTAGGCATTGATGTTTAAAATCTCTATGTACTTGACCCATCATATCATGGTTGTTCTGAATTATGTCTGTATATACATTTACAAACTGTTTCATTTGTTTTAAATGAGCTTCTTCTACATCCTGGAAATGCTTACATGTCTGAGTCATTTTTTTCTCAAAATCTTGTTTTACAAAGTTATATTTCTCAGCAAGTTGTCTGTAATCTTCATGAAGCTTTTTAAGTTTCACTTCTGACTTATCGATGTCTTTTGCTGATGCATTATCTTTACGCAGCTTCTCTAACTCTGCTGATTTTGTAGTATATACATCCTTAGCCTTCTGTAAGGCTTGTTTCGTACTTTGTATTAATAAAACAACTTCTAGTGTACTTGACTCAGAATCTTTTACAGCCTTATGCTTTTTATGTAATTCCTCAGCATAGCGAGCCACATCTTTAACAAGTTCACTTACTTTTTGGAACATATGCTGATGTAAGTTAGATAGTTTCTCAGCTGAACACTTAAGTACGCCCCAAAACGGTGCGAAAGTACCTTGAGCGCAATTGCTATTAGCTTGCTTAGCTAATTTCGCTAATAACTTTGAATTAGTCTCTTCAATATTTGAGCGCTCCCTAAGATACTCTGAGAGTTCTTTGCTGGCTATAAGTCCAAATTTCATGTTTTGATATAAAATATCATATCCATTATGCTCGTTGGCGAAATAATCTACGAAGTTGACACTCATTTTTGCTGTTACAGAGGCATATGATTACAGTTATTCAATAATTGTCACTCACTGACCTGTATTCTAGGGTCGAGCTCAGAATCGCCATTGTCATCAGCTGGAATCGTAAATGAAGATTCCTCCATTGTAGTACTTAGAAGAGGAAGCCACCCAATCACCTAAATTACATCACTGACACAATAGCGTATAGCGTCATCTACATCACACAACGTTTGATTAAATCAGATATGCATCACTACACTACTTTAATAATTAATTCACTAAATGAACAGGAACGCTGTATATAAATCATATAAAAGGCTTTAATTTATTATAATAGTAAAATTTAGAAATTTTATTCAAGATGAATGACGTCCACTCTCATGACGTCAAATCATAATAATAGACAAAATTTTGTCTTATTAAATATTTTATAGACTAGTGTTAAGAATCGATAATAAATTGAAATCGGTTTCATAAATAAATGATAAGTCGATTAATAGTTTTTGTATCAGATCTTCATCGATCTGGTATACCGTAAGAATGTGCATAATTTTGTCTGAATCAACAATTGTGGATAAGAAACCAAAGATAGATAACATTTATTTAGCTTTGTGTCGATTAAGGCGGTGCGACGCATGTGGTAAAACGAAAAGTCCATTGATACAAACTCAAGTTCGGAAAAGAAAGGGGCGACACACCGGCAGTGTTTATGTCTTTACACGATTTAACAATAAGATCGCTTTATTGTACCTATCTCCTAAGTTTTATTATCTGTAACCATTTAAAATATTCAAGCTTGTGCTGTACCATAAAGTATAATATATAATAATCAACATGAACTAATTGCATTTGTGATTTTAATGTGTAATAACATCACCCTGAATACCCAGAATCCAAATATCATGAATTAATATTACAATTTTTGAGTTATTAAGGTCTGAAAAGTAAAATTTTTGTCATTTATACATTAACTGATTGAGTGATTCACTCATGAAAACAAATGAGTTGTTGCTTTTTGTTCAACATGGGTGACAAAGCCACGGCTACTTAAATGTCAGTTGTGTATCGCCAGCAACGCAAATTCAGGAATTTGCATTTAGGAAAACCCAAAATTAGGGGCTTTTTAGAAGCTAATTTGGTGCCATTTTTAAAAATTAGGTGCTCAAAATTTTCACCGCAACGAATTATTAAAATTTGTGTGGCTAGCAAAATGTATCGCTAGCAAAGTAATAAAGTTATTAGATAAACGATAAATGTTAATAACAAGGAATTAAGTGCTAGTTAGGTGCTGCAAGTATAAGCAATGATAAGGCGCCCATAATAAAAATAAAGCCGTTATCCAGAACAAAACAGATGCAAAATTCAGGTATTCTTCTGAAAATGGTAAAACTATAGACATCCGGTACTTGCATCTGGGGTTAGAGGGTTCTGGGGAAGCCCCCTACCCTTCCCCATTTCGGAAATGTACAGTTTATGAGTAACATTTTCTTTTGTAAAATCATAACCTCACTTTTTTAAACAGGGATATTGACATAGTTACTTTTGTAACAGCTTTGGAGCTGCGGGGAGTGCTGCGCAGCCCGTTCGCCCTTGCGTAGCTAATCACAGGTATCCTTGCTCACCTCCGCAGCTTCAGCTTATTGGTTGCCTTTGACGACCAGCCTCAGACTCGCCACAGCGGGTGGGTGCTGCTCTTCCTCCGCGCCTACGGCTTTACAAAAACAATTCAGGGGTAGAGCAGACACGACTATATGAAGTCAGGGCGTTTTAATTCGGGGGTTTGTACAGATTCGACCGATCTTATTTATAATATGTAACTGATAAAGAACAGATATACTGTTCATACGTTATTAGTAAGGTAATAGTGGTTCTGGACCCTATAATTCCCAGAATATTACCGTCATCTATATCCAACCACGATAATCTTTCAGCACTTAATTCCTTGCTATTAATATTTATCGTTTATCAATTATCGTCACTGCGTTGCTAGCGATTCGTTTTGACAGCAACGCAAATTTCAACAGTTCGTTGCGGTGAAAATTTTAGAGCAACTAATTTTTAAACTTGGTACCTAATTAGCACCTAAAAAGCACCTAATTTGGGCTTTTTCTAAAAGCAATTTCGATTCTATTCTGATTTTCAGAAAACCTGAATTTTGCATCTGCTTTATTCTTAATAACGACTTTATTTTTATTAGGGGCGCCTTGTCATTATTTATACTTGCAGCACCTAATTAGCACTCAATTCCTTACTATTAATATTTATCATATATCTAATAACTTCATTGCGTTGCTGGCTATACGTTTTGCTAGCAATTCAATTTTTAACAGTTCGTTGCGGTAAAAATTTTAGATCACCTAATTTTTAAACTTTGCACATAATTAGCACCTAAAAAGACCCTAATTTAGAGTTTTTCTAAATGCAAATTCCTGACTTTGCGTTGCTGGTGAGACACAGCTCTATATAACTGCTTTAACATACTACAATGGTTGTAATAATTGTGACATTATAGTATAGTGGTGGAGAAACAGTCATGTTAACAATATATAACAATATTATTATTTTATACTTAGTAGAGTCATGCTGCAGCAATATTAATAGTGTAGTTGTAGCACGAATGGGTCGGCTCGACCGGGGAAGGAACACGCTCTCACAGAATACCAGCGTAAAATAGCAGCTTAATGCTGCTGTGTTTCGTATTGTAAGTGTGGAGAACCGGAGACCCTATATACTGGAAACGAGGCATTCCATCTTAGTGCTCACGGCTGACAACGCATCTGCATTTTAATTCGCAAACGAAGATAGATGTAGATGTATGCGCCACAGCAACGACTTAGCATCAGGTGGGCTGTGTAATCGTTTGTCACCCTTATTCTATAAAAAAATATTATGTACAAAATAATATGCAAATAAGGTTTTAACTATTTTAATAATAAATATTATAACACAATTGAAACTGTTATTATATACTAAGCTCTTTTATTAGGAAAACTGTTGAAATTAAATGTTCACGATTCCCGTTATTTATATTTTGAGAGAAATGAAATTATTATTATAGATCAATAAGTCGATATTTCGATGTTTTTAACTTTTATCTCTATCATGTTTTGTGTCTGTCGTCTTCACTGAGTGTCTATGATTATAATGGTATTAAATTAAATTTTGCTCAATGTGGTGTAGGTACGATTGTAGTGTATCCCTTACTTCCTTGGGTAGTGTTTACGCGGTATGTTATGTTGCACGTTTGATAAAATCTATTTCGTTTGACATATTTAATTTAGGTGTATAATGATGCTTTTTCAATTTGTCGAATTTGACATAAAACAACTTCAATTTGGTCCAGTTTCGTTGTTTCATCAAGAAGAGTTTCTGTTTTAAAGGAATTTCTTTCTATGAGTGACATAAGTAGCAGTTGCAATTTCTTGCCTGAGCGTTTGACTCAATTTCATGTGTTCAGAGTTTGTTTCTGAGACGGTGATTGTAGTTAATCTGTATGCAACTGTTACGCGTTACCTCGACTATGTCTTACCAAGGATCACCATATTCGGGCCCGGGTGACGAATATGATTTTGAAGACGATGGGTACGACGACTTAGACGAATACAGAGACCAAGAAGACCCGTTACCACCACCTGCAGTTGATGACAGCGATGAAGGTATGTATGTTTTGTTTACGAACTTTCTAGCCTATTTTGGCGTCGTATTACTGTCACACATTACTATATGTTATTCCCAACAAATAAGTTGACGTGATGATAATAAACACAGGTTATATAATAACAATAAGGTTAGAATATAATCAGTGGATTACCTATCAGTTTCTTCCCGCCTTTTGATGCCTAACTTTTAGATCGTTTAGATGACGTAATGAGTCCCATCAGACACTACTTTCTCCACACATTTAATCATAATAATAACATTTATTTTTCAAAATCTTGTTGAGGTTAACAAAAGTTTTAAAAATATATATATATAAATAATGAGCTGTGACAGTAGATTTCATTGTATATTCAACTTGTTTTGATTTAATTTAAAATTTAATTTAAAATAATAATATGAAATTAATGTAATAAATAAAGTAACATGTGAGAGATTATTTTTGTTTTGTATGCAATTTCAGATACGGAAGAGGCTAGTGAAACAGAAATACCAAATAATGATGAACCAGTTGAGATTAAAGAACAGTAAGCAATTTTTTATTTATTTATTACATATACACACCTCTAAAATTAAGAGCATTTGTAGTGCTTATTAATGTTATTAAAGTCCACTGTTGAACATAGACCCCAAGGAATGTCATAAAGCACAGCTCTGAGCCTCTTGCATACACTTTGCCTGTTGATAAATTATGATTGGACCCTTAGAGGAATACATAAATTCTCAGTGAAGATGTAAATACATTAACTAGCTTGAGCTCTATGAAGTATTACTTTTATACGAATTTCCTAGAGAGATGATTATATCTTATAGTTGTATATAATGTGTAGGTATATGTGTCTCATGTAGTTTAAATGGCTTGATAGAAATGAAAAGTATGAAATTTATATTACTTTCTTTTCATAATAGTTTATGTTGTAATAATGGGGGTGGGGAGGGAGGTGAGTGATGTTCCAGTCAATCTACCCTATTCAGAAGGTATAACTAGAACCTAGCTGTGTTTAACAACATTAAAAAATGTTTGAGTGTTGTGGAATGAAGTTCCTTTTGTAGTATATTATTATTTATAAACATATTATATTATTGTTTAACAAATACAAATAAATGAATTACTAGTGTCTATTGAAATGAATTTAAAATAAAATAATATTTCTTTCATGGCAAGATAAGAAAAAGTGCAAGGGAGATGAATATTATTCCATCTCGCTTCCTTATAGCTGCCAAGGCCGTATACACTATGTCAGAAGGGGTTCTGAAGGAAAAGCTTACACTTTTTCTCGCCTAGCCCCCATCTGCCAAATTTGTACCGTCCGATAAGGAACTTCTTTCCAAAAAAACAAGTACCAATTCCTTCCATGAAATATTCATTATTACAACTAATTTTTCAATTGTTTTTCGACACTTGCAGAATGTACCAAGATAAATTGGTAAACCTGAAGAAACAGCTGCAGCAATTAGAAGATGGAGTTCATCCAGAATTCTTAAGAAGAGTGAAAAGATTAGAACACCAGCTTCATGAAAGGCTAAGGCTCAATAAGATATACAAGTCAGTTAGTTTTATTTAAATGTTTATAAATAATTAATATTAATTTCTGTCTAATTCAGATTTATTTCATATTATAAAACCTTTGCAAAACAGGATAGTAAAATCAAAATTAATATGAATGCATTTCCTATTGTATATGTGATGTCATTGTTAAATGTAGATGTATAAAACTCAATAATTAATATCTAGTCTGGATCACTTTCCTATATCAATAATTGAAACATATTTGTAGTATTCTCTGCAGTTGAGAGACCCATGTTCAGTAATGGTTGTTGATTGTTATGGATTGGTGGTTTTCCTTAACTTTCCAGTCACTTTTTATTTTATTGTTCCAACAATATTGCAATTCTCAGTTAAATTTTTGTAGATTAAGAATCAAAATGCAAATGTGTTGTCAGCCCTGAGTATTAAGACAGAACGCTTAGTTACCAGTAAAACCGGAAACCGGAGACCAGTGTTTGTCAGTCATATGAGATAGAGCAGGATTATGGTATTTTACCCCCACATTCATGTTATAACTATTATGTGTAGTAACTTATCTCTACCACATAAACACGTTTACACTTGTTATAGAGAACACATGCACGAAGTGGTGGAAAGGGAATACGTAGCAGAGAAGAAGGCAGCAGCAAAAGAATTTGAAGAGAAGAAAATAGAGCTGAGGGAGAACTTACTCAATGACTTTGAGGACAAGAGAAAAATGATCGAGAATGAGAGGCATAGCATGGAACTCAATGGTGATTCCATGGAGGTGATCAATAATTTAATACTTACTGTATTTCTACTCATGTATTATTTTTACAGAAAAACATTAACAAACGGCACAAAGTAGGTAATTGACATTAGTCAATGAGGGCTAATAATCTTCCATTCACCAGATGTCGCTAGTTGGGACTGAGCTGAAGTTTTTTTGTTATACAATATCATTTAAGTGATATGTTAGTTTTAAATAAAAGTTTAGCAGTTTCTAGAGTATTATAGTATTAATACACAAAACAATGCCTCAACGGTTTGCTCTTTAGTTTTTTGCAAATTTTTATTTTTTTTATTTTTCTACTTTTAGAAATATTCGTAGTTTAGTTTATGAATTTCTAATCAAATTAATGTAAAATATAACTAATATTACAAAAATAATTTTAAACCTTACATTTTCCTAACAATTTAATTTCCCGCTACGAAATTTGTCAAATATTTCACTACATTCTAAAGTGGCGCCGTCCTGGTGGTAGAAAAAATCGTTGCTAATTGAAAGACTTTTCAATTAAAATAAACATTTCTTTATTATTATTATAGTCCTAAAATGTCATAGTTTTACAGTGAAATAAATATCTCATTTGTACTTATATTTTCAAATACTAAAAATCTAATTTAATTTCGGATGTGAAAAGCTAAGTTAAGCTAAAAAATATTCTCTTTTATTATGAAATAAGGGTGGCAAATGAGCACACAGTCCACATGATGGTAAGTGGATGCTGTGATCCATAGACATCTACATTTATCCTTAATTAAGAATCAAAAGGCAGATGCGTTGTTACTTTCTTGAATGCCTCGTTTTCAGTAAAAAGGGTCTTCACTCAGCATACTAAACACTGGCAGCATTAAGCTGCTGTTTTACGCTGGTATTCTGTGCGAGCGTGGTCCTATACCCTGGTTGAGCTGACCCATTTGAAGCAATATACGTGGTAGAGCACGCTGTAGCGTGACTCTACCACGTATATTCTATTCTATTATTCTTTTCTATTTTAAGGAGTTCCTCAGGTGCATAGGAGTGACAGTAAAAGATTTCCAACAGTTTACAATATCAACACGGCGTTGCAGGTGAAACCGGTAATGAAGCGAATCTTGCGACGGCGGGCCAACGAGCCGGCACCGGCGCCCGAGAAGCGTCGCAAGCCCCTGGCGACCACGCTGACGTTCCAGCTGGACGAGCGCGACGTGGAGGCAGACCTACGCGCCATCTCGCGCCAGGCGCAGTCCCCGCCGCGCCACCACCACCAGCACCACGCCCACCACGCGCCCACACACGCCACCCAGCCCAGGAAGCACCTCAACTCCAACAGCTGTAAGTCCACTTCATTTTCTGCTTTTCTACCACATCCTTATTAACTCGCTTTCGTGTTGAATTAGGTAATGTAATAAAATGATTGATGGAACTGTTCTTGTAGAATTTAGTAATTAATTTTAAACTAATATCACGATAAGCTGAAGACTTGAAATTTTTAACATCAGATTCAGATGAAAAGACACGGAAGAAAGCATGATATATTAAAATATTTTAATACATATTTTCTTTAAATTTCACTAGTTTTATAGCCATAGTAGAAGTTCTGCAATGTTTTAATGTTTGTGGTTTTTTTACAAAACATTACTTCCACACTAGGATTTTCTCCTGTGTCATGGAGGCAGTTTACATACATAAATTGCACAAGCACAAACATCCAGACCCGAAACAATTATTTATAGGCCAAACAAATAGTCATTCCGTGCGGTATTCGAACCCGCGGTCCTCAGCGCTGTAACTTATTGATTAGCTACTGCTCCACAGAGCCGTTAAATAGGAGTGGGCAACAGCATCTTTTTGATAACAGCCACCATCTGTGACAGGGTTGGAAAAATCATGATTTTTTTAATTTTAATCAAATCATGCTGATTTTTTAAAAAAAATCATGATATTTTTGATTTTTTTATATATTATGTAATTAATGAGTTGGTAACACTTTTTGACATAGTAGGATTATAAAAGTTTATGAATACAAATGTATGAGACTGATTAAGAGTAAAATAATTAATACTGTATTAATTACACCTCATATCTTTGTGTAAAAAAAAAAATTCTTTGGTTGATTTTACAAATTTATGAGACTGACAGACCTCATCGCTACAGTCTGTTGATTTTCCAAAGTTTATGAGACCTTTGTAGTAGAATAATAAGAATAACATAAAACGATAAAAGATTTTACCTTATTTTAAGCCAGTTTTATTTCATATGTTGATTTAAATCAATGATTTTTTAAATCAAAACCAAGCGATTTAAATCGTTATTTAAATCATGATTTAAATCGGTCTGATTTAAATTGGCCATTCCTGATCTGTGGCAAATATCCTCCTATGAGGCGATCAATGGAGGAGGTTCAGCAGTGGACTTTTGGTAGGCCGTAATGTGTGAATGCAAAAAAAGGGGTTCGTTTTTACGTAGTAGACTGGCGACAGGTTGCAGCGGTAAAGGTGAGGGCCATCTCGTACGGCGTCACTTTTAACGCAAATCGTCCCAATGTCTATAGGCCCATATTAGATAAATTAGCACATCAAATTGTAACAGCAATTTCATTGATGCCGACGGCACTGAACTAGGGCAGCTCGCTTACTGCGAAAATTACTGTGAAGTTACTCATAATTGATTTACAAATATTATTTTAGCAACATGTGCCGGAGATTCACCAGTGCGGGAAGGCGAGGTGACCGACGCGAGGGTAGAAGACGGCAAATTGTTGTACGAGAGGCGCTGGTTTCATCGCGGACAGAGCGTCTACGTGGAAGGCCCTGGACGGGAAATGAACAAGTTTCCCGGTCACATACATGCCATCACCGATGAAGCGGTTAGTTTTATATTACCTTGTGTGATCTGTATTTCCTATGTTTTTCGTTTACATATTTTTGACCTTAAACATCTTATTTAATAAAACTCGCTGATGTTAGGGGCGTGTAATATACTCGTAAACCGGGCATGTTAAAAGTTTGGCAAAACAAATGGTTTATGAGTAAAAGTTTTTCTTATAATTACTTTCTAAAAAGTCCTTAAAAACTCTTTTTTATTTATGTATTTCTTTTAGTCCCATGTAAAGCACCCTTATATGAGACCCGACTCGAAGGATCACATTCTAACTTTATCAAAATTTGTATAGTTGTAGTCAAATTTATAAGTATATGTATATCTAAAAAAAAAATGTCGGCTCGATCGCAAACTGTCACAGAATACCAACGTAAAACGTTACGAAATTTGTATAGTGAGAGTAGAGAACAGGAGACCCTTTTTAGTGGTAACGAGACATTTCGTCATAATACTCAGGAATGTCAATGCATCTGCATCTTGATTCTTAATTGAGAATCTATGTAGGTGTCTTTGTACCAGGCAGGGGTTTTTGAAGTGGGGGGCGTGCCACCCAGGAGGGGGGGGCAGAGACCTGCAAAGAGTGGCACGAGGGGCACGAGCTAGTTGTGTAGTTAGGGACCTTACAACCAAGAAATATCCTTAGGAAGGTGCAGTGAATGTACACCGAAAAAATTGCTGAAACAATGTTTTGGGGCAAATATTTCACAACCTATTCGAAAATAGTATATAAAGCCCTTCAATCATATTTACCCATTTCCTGTACATATTTGTGCGAAAGGAGATTTTCTGCTGTTGTAGCAATAAAAACCAAGTCCAGAAATAAACTTACTCGTAACATCGAAAGTGCTTTTTGTTGTTCGATTTCTGTGGTTAAGCCGTGAATCGGAATCTTCGTTAAAACCATGCAAGCTCATCCATCTACATTCAATTAAATAAGAAGTAATATTATATAATTAAATAGTTTTTGTATGATAATATGTAACTTTTATGTATTAAAAATGTGATGTTATTGAACAGAACTACTTTTTTCTAACCTGATTAATAATCTAAAATTATCTGAGCTAGGGGGCGCGGATATTTTTTTTTTTGGTAAAAAGGGCGCACGTTAGAAATAAGTTAGGGAACCACTGGGCTAGAGCAATGCACTTACTTGCAAATGGACTTTGTGCCCATTTGTCACATTTGTTATCAGTAAAAAAAGATATTGTCACTAATTATCGGTTTAGTTACTTATGTCACTTTAAAAAATACCCTCATATAAGGGTAAACAATTAAAAAAAAAAAACATGAAACTATTTTATAAATAAAAAATATTTAATATAGAACAATCTATAATATATAATATTTTTATATATAATATTTTGTTACGTGGTAGAGCCATGCTAAAGCTGTATTGCTTCTATAGTTGTAGCACAAATGGGTCGGCTCGACCGGGGAAGGGCCACGCTGTCACAGAATATCAGCGTAAAATAGCAGCTTAACGCTGCTGTGTTTCGTTTGGTGAGTGTAGAGAACCGGAGACCCTATTTTCTGGAAACGAGGCATTCCATCTTAGTCCTCACGGGTGACAACGGATCTGCATTTTGATTCATATTTGAGGATAGATGTAGATGTCTATGGGCCACAGCAACCACTTACCATCAGGTGGACAGTGTACTCGTTTGTCAGCCTTATCCTATAAAAAAAATCAAAAACCATCTGACATGGGCTTCTTCCTTTATCTGATGTGACTTAAGAGAAGTCTCGTAAGAGGTAACTTTGTAAAATCTGAGAAAAATCTTATCTAAAAAATATCGATATATATCGAATCGATATTTTTAAACAGTATCAATATATATCGTGTGATAAGTATATCGACGCGTGATATATCGATATATCGTCATCAATTGTATAATGTAAAGATAATACAAAATTTTGTACATTATCTTTAGATAATGTACAAAATTTTGTATTAAAGACGGTTGGACGACGAAAAAAAAAACGACAACCAACCACACATGTATACTTTTGTACCTCATTTTGTTGTTACATGTTGATTACATATAAGTTGGATGTAAGTAAATAAATAAAAAATAAAAATGTTTTGTCATTAATACAACATTTTAAAATATATCGAAATTGATACGAATTCGATACTCTAAAATAAATATCGATAATTCGCGATTTAAAATATCGACGATGTATGTCGATATTTTTATTTAAAAAATATCGATTTTTCGATATATCAATATTTTTTGTCCAAGCCTAATCAGAACCAATAAGGATAGCACTATATTTATATAAATGTATCAACAAACAACATCATTTTCCAATTTTATATTTGTAGTTTACATGACTTTGAATTTAAAAAACGATTCATTATTTTACATAAGTTTTAGGTACCCTTTTACCGGTTAATGAGGCATTATATTTGTATATCTTAGTGTTCAGGGGTAACAATAAATCTACATTTTATTTATTTATTTATTCTTTATTGCATTTTTTAAAACAAAAGAATACAAAGGGCGGAGTTAATGCCGCATGACATTTTGATTTTAAATCAACAGTAGATGTAGGCGCAATGGGCCACACCATTCACTTACTATCAAGTGATCTGTGTGGTGGCTTTTTACCCTTGTTCTATAAAATAAAGTTTTTATTTTTGTTACAGATATGGGTGAAGAAAACCAACCTGGAACGAATCAGGATATACGTGTCGCAGTTAGCGCGTGGCAAAGTGACTTTAAAAAGACGCGCTTCGTAATGTTTACTGCTAGTGTTATTTATTTATACTGTGCAAGACTGGTCGTGTACATAGATTAGTGCATACGCTAGAGTTTGTGTATGTGTGAGTGAGGAATTAACCAATCGTTTTGTTGAGCAGGTACGTGCCAATAAACTGGACTTCCTCTTAAGTGTTGATGGCAGATGAAATCAAACGTTCGTTTGTTATGCCACCTTTATTTATAACAATGTTAAAACGTCCATGAATTTATTTGACTCTGCTTATACAGATATATTGCTATATTACTATAGTATTATCTCCATCTTATTAATAGTAAATGACAAAATACATTTTTTCTATGTTTTAAACATAAAGAACCTCTAAAGATAATTAATATACACAATTTTATGCAAAACTTTATGCCTTGGAATGGAATTATAACATAATAATACAGAAAATGTCAACATTTGAAGTTTATTCTCGCCGTGTCATTATATTGGCGGTTATTAGTGGTTTTTCATTAGGTGTCAATTTTAGGTTACATTCGGTCTCTTCCAACTGCAAAAATGTTTATCATTTTAGATGTTTCACATAGCTTCAGTTCAAGGGTTATTGTTCTGTTATTTTCATCAAAGGCAAATAACGTGTTTTGATGATTGAAATAATAATCAGTTGTTGCTATTTAATTTTTAATGTATTTACATTGTATAACCTTTGAGGAACACGGGCTACCGACATATTGGCGGGGAGTAGCCATTTGCAGACGTTCTCCTCTGTTCGGTCCGGTGCATACAATAAAATTAGTTGCAAAAGCACTGCTCACTAAACTAAATCTAGTTGTGCGGTTGAATCGAAGTTCTAGTTCAGTTTTTTGCCGTAAAGAGATCTGCCAAGTTAAATTTATAAAAAGGTACCCTATACCTTTTATATATATGTAATTTTAATCACATTATTGCTATTTACTTGTTTTAAACTTAAAATTACAATAAAAACGGTTGTGTTGATTCGGCTTTGTGTACCAACATAGGCCGCTCGCCCTCGTACAATATGCGTATCGGTCAAGTGACTGATCTGATTCTGTATCTGAGTTGTCGCTGTCACTGAGCGATAGTGTTCAATGTTCAATGTATGTGTGTGTGAAATTGTTAGTATATTGTTTTAATTATTATGTGTGAGATTCGTAGTGACCGGCGATTGATTTGTGTGCATAGATTTTTAGAGATTTCCCCTCGCAAAAAATGACAGACAGTTCTTTATCGGGAAAAAACGCTATGGCTACTGACCTCCGGTCCGCCCCACCGGTGGCCTGTGTTGCTCTATGTGTATAACAGATTATAATAATATTTGTCTTTGAACTCATTAAAAAGTCATGTAAAACACTTGGAATGAAATCAAAAGAAATAATATACATATCCTTTTAAGGATGTTAATTAACAACAGTTTAAAAAACCTTTTAACAAATGTGTTTGCAGTTAAAAGTTTTAAATTAAATTATGTTTGTTTTTTATATATAAAATACCTTCATCCTTTAAATTGATATTATTTATAGCAAATAAATATTTATTATGTACTGTAAATGTGCCGTACCACATTTTGTATCTCGCCAAATTTTTATGTGTAGATCAATTAGTCTCTACAAGGTATTTCCAATATTACTTCAAATGCTTCATCAAGGGACTGACATGAGCTCTCGAAACGTTCTTAATATTTACACTAGAAAGTTGATGCGAGCTTTGCTAGATCCCGTAATGGAATCGAAAATGCATGACTCAGGCCTTTTTCTGTGATAAAACCTTTCTGTAAATAGTGCTTGATGGATTTCTGTGGTATACCCGTGGTGTATTGATCTGTAAGGAGAGCTAGAAAGGCGGCTTTCGTTTTTGTTTTGAAGAATAACTCCTATTTAAATTCAAAGGTTGTAAAAATGGCATTATTGTAGTTTTTTTTTAGGATATAATTTTAGGTGGAGCCAGTGTCGAAAATAATTTATTTAGCTGTAGTGTACTGAATAGACAACCGACTTTGTTAGTGTTTATTTAACTTGAATTGCAAGAATGCATTTTTAATAATTCGTAAATTAAAGCGGCAATCTTTTTCGTATATTGTTTTGTATATAAAAAGCATTTTGGCATTACGCCAATAATTATATAGCGTACATTATATATGATATATTTTATTATTTATGTATTATTACACATGTTTATGTATAATAATACATAAATTTGTGTTATACAAAGTGCAATACATCGGTTTGACAGCCCTGTAAAAATCCGTCCTCTGAATATTCTTATTTTAAAATTCAAAAGCGATCGTTGTAAATTTCACAGTGGCATCAACGTAATTATTAATTGCAATTTTAAGTGCTTGTTTAGATTCTCAGCCATGAAAGAAAAAATTGTGGGAAATTAAAAGAAGTTTTTGACGGCTCGTGCAGTTTGCTGACACGCATTGGGGCAGCGAGTGGGTATTTAATTACCCTAAGACCCTCTCAGAACAAAGAGGCCTGTGTCCAGCGTTCGGATGTATAGAGGCTGTAACCTAAAATAATCAAAACATATATGAATTAATTACTAAATTATGCTAATGATTTGGAATAGAATGTTTAAAATGAATTCATTTATAAAGCTTAAAATATTCATGTCAAATTAAATTATTAACAGTTTTTTTATGTAATATCCGTAATGGTGGAACCGTGGTAGTTCAGGGGCTTAGCGTTCGCTGTCAATTTCATAGTACGCAAGTAACCCGTGTTCGAGCCCCGCCGGCGCCAATGAAATTGTTAATTGCAATTAAAATGTGCCGCCGAGCACGAGGTAAATCAGCACTAAAGTGCTGATTTACCTCGTGCTCGGCGGCAAAGGAAAACATCGTGAGGAAACTTGCGTTTCTGAGAATATTTCGGAGACATGTGAAGTTCACCAACACGCATTAAAGTAGCGCGGCGGGCACTTCCTTGTCCTAAAACCCTTCCTAAAAGTGGACGGAGGCCTGGATCCAGCAATGGGACGTAACTTTACTTTAATTTTTATAGAGGCTGTAAGTTTAATTTTTCATATAATTTCAAGATGTAACACAGTTAATCTCAAATTGCTCATGCTCAACGTAAAATTTTGTTAGAAAACTCGTAGTCGAATTGATAATCAATTTGCTTTAATGTATTTTTAATTACCATAAAATCTTTTCTGTAGTCGTATTAACTCAAATAAAATATTATATGCATATTTTAACTCATGTTACGGTATTCATTGGCTTGCGTGTTTTTGATACGGCTGTCAAACCTAGAGGTCTAGATACGGTTGGTGTAACAACTGTATTGTACATTGTAAATATTCGCAAATGATGTATAATATAATTGTATTATATTGATCAAATGACATGTACAGGAACTGGTTTTTGGAAGGTCGTCTTTTTATTTCGGAATTGTTTATTTTATATTTTGTGATTTAATTATTATGTGTAAATGTGATGTGAATTGTAAATATGGATATGTGCAGATTGTTTTTACAAATGTAGATGATATTTGAGAACAAGATCTTGAATTATATGTATTATAAGTGACGTGACTTTTCTTTAATTCATTCATTAATTCATTACAGTCTATCAAAAGTCCACTTTTGAATGATTTGCCATAGTTGCCATGCTTGGTGGTCGTCAATCGCAGTTGTTTTGCTTGGTTGCTGCTGCCCATCTCCTGTTTCAGTTTCCCTCTGTCAACTCACGTGATTATATTAGGTTAGTAGATATTCTTACGCTGCCATTACACAGCACTTTTTCCTTTATAATTCCTCTTCAAACCTTGATTCATTTAGAAAGGTTATTCTAATGCCTAATTTTTTTTTAAGGAAACATTTGTATTAATTTATTTTACTAAATACACTTTGGCTCACTCCGGGTCACAGAGTACTTTTTTCTCCGGGCTCAGTCGCCGTTGTGAGTGGTCGTTTGTTTACAGCGGTTCGTGCTGAAGAATATCGATCAAAAGGATCAAAAGAAAGTGCAGACTTCCCGGAACGTTGGTGCTTCACACATATAAACATATAGCTGACGTGACACGTGTAACGTCAGCTATGTGTTTATGATGATGATGATGATGAGTTTGTGATCATATCCTAGACGGCCCCCGCCATTACATTAGATTTGATTAACCGCAAATTCTCGCGAAAGAACATCGATTCCTGCCAAGGATGATACGTGAGGCTATTGAAATTAAAAAACATCCTAATTTCAATAGAGAGGGAGGCTGGGTACTACCACCTGCTTGGGATCCTATAATTCATAAAATTAAAACTAAACCCAAGCATACCACTGCAAGATTTCAAGACACAGTAAGTTCATTCTGCGTAGATCGGACCAAAATTAATAATTAAAAAGCTGAAGGTACTCCGGGTTAACTCTGACATCGGGACGTCAGTCACCTCAGTCCCCCGTGACGAGCACAAAGAAGTTGGCTTGGAAGTATGACTGGTCAAATTAATGAACAGGTGCACATAATTGCTCACTAAATGCTCAATTCAAATCTGCAATTGCTCACATTATTAATTTATTATTTAAATAGTTATTAATAATTAAAAATACAGATTTTTTTTTGTCTATTATACATAAAACCAATAAACTTTTTTTTAAATGAATAACTGCCCATAATTGCTCACAAAATGCTTTATTTAAATCCGCAAATGCTCACACTATTAATAAATTATTTAATTATTTATTAAAAATTTAAAATACAAAATTGTTTTTACCTACACAGGTAAAAACATTACCTACACCGATCAGATTAATGAATATGCGCTAATAATTGCTCACTAAATGCTCAATTCAAATCTGCAATTGCTCACACTATTAATTAATTATTTAATTATTTATAAATAATTTAAAATACAAAATTGTTTTTACCTACACAGGTAAAAACATTACCTACACCGATCAGATTAATGAATATGCGCTCATAATTGCTCACTAAATGCTTAATTTAAATCCGCAAATGCTCACACTATTAATAAATTATTTAATTATTTATAAATAATTTAAAATACAAAATT